GCACAGCCAACTCCCGCTGGTAGGACTACGCCCCCTGCGATCCTTCTCCCGCAGCTTCGAATGGCTTTCCCTCTCTCAAACGTCGGATGCGTGCGCGCGCGTTTCGCGGTCCCTCGCTCACAAGGAAACGGAAACTCGGTGCAACTTGGACGGTCTTGCTGTTTAAATGGCTGTGGTTCTTTGGCTGCCCCCCAAAGGAAACTCAGTGTTGGCCCAGGAGGTCTCAGGTCCCGAAATGTTTTTTTGGGCCAGGCGTCCGAAGGCTGCTTTCTTAGTGATGATGTCTCTCAGAGAAGCAACTCAAGTAAGGCGAATCTTGAAAAAACCCTCCTTATAGAGAAGTAGCTCGATCCCTCAACCATGTGAGGGTCTTAGTAGCTTGTCGACGTGTTTTTTTTTTTAGGTGACACTAATGGGATGTGTCATGGTTAGGACGGGTTTACCTACCCCAGGGTCCCCATTAAAGTACCCTCTTTCCAACAATCATGGAAGTTGCCAGGGTTCAGTGGAAGACTACCCTCCTCTTGAAACGGTCCACTTCCATGATTGTTGGAAAAAGCATGCATCAAGTTTGGTGGCAAAGACGTGCAAACATTGACAATGAGCATACAGGCGGTTTCCCATTTGGCTCCTTGGACGTCATCCAAAAAGGATGGACCCACACGTTTCAGAACGCAGGAACAGGGTTCCTGATGAAATGCCCACTCCGTTTCATGACTGGAAGCCAACCCCCACTACGAAGTCCGCGCTTGGAGGATGGTTGGTAACGGTTACCGGGTATCACGACAGCGGGAACCAACCTAGTTCCCACAGCCCCTTCGCCAAGAAAGACTGGGGGAAACTCAGTTGAAACATTAGCACGCAAAGGAACTGTCATGTTTGCAGGCGACATACTCCCAGGTTCCCCCTTTTCTCAACGGGCTTCGAAAAGGAGATCTGAATGGGCTGAAGGCTAAAACTTGTCCTAACTCGATTGCTCCAAGCCCCAAGCAAATCAAATTGCCTAGGTTACAGTGTACTTGGCGGCAAGCAGTGGCCGTCCTGTGCAAAACTTGCAGAAGATTCTGAGCTGTGATGGAGAAGCCAACTAAAAACCCAAATGGTCCTTTTGGCCCCTTTTGGAGGGAACCAAAGTTGGTCGTGCAAACAGAAGCTGTTGCGAGTGAAACCTCCCAAAACAACCTTTAGAGCCCATTTGAGGTTCCCGATACAAGAGGATCCTGTGATGGCTTGTAGGCTCCTTTCCAACCCTGTGTTTGGGAGCAAAAAGCAAACCTTGTTTTGCAGTTACAAGTCGTGAACAGAACCTGAAAAACAACCATGCCAACAACAGTGAAGGCTCCACGTTAGGCTGGGGAGTACATGGCTTGAATCGCGCGAAACCAACGACGACGTCTCCCCATCCTTGTGCACGATCCGCCAGCCATTGCGCGGAGGCTTCACGTCCACGGGCCTAACGATCAAATCGCTGGGAAGATCCTACTGTGGATGGTTGCGAAATCCATTTCGCACCACTTGGAAACCATGGTTGAATCCATTGTTTGTTGGTATTTACATGGGAATTATCATTCCAGGGTTTCTCAGGTGGTGCAGGATTTCGTCCATCCACAGTACGGATCTGCGAGTCTTCGAATCATTGCGGAAAATTGCAATTTTAACAATACCAAAGTGGCACATCGCCATACTTGACTTTGGGGATTCCCTTGGTACAGAAAGTCGAAACTCTTCAAACCCCACGTTCGAAAAAGCATGAACAAGTGCGACTGGGCAGCCCAACAGGCAGTCCGATGTAAGCAAAACAAGAAAGGCACCCTCTGATGAATGGCGTTGTTTATGTACCGTGAAAGTGTGTTTTTTGCAAGTCAAATGGCTTGCGTGTTTCTTGATGGAAAGCTTTTGGGAATCCAGCTTGGCTTGCTGACTTCGAATTGAAGGTGTCCAGGCGGTTTGTGACTTTCCCAGACGACCAGAAACCCCAAGAAGAAAACCAACAAATAACAACAAAACAACAACACAACTTGATTTAATAATATATATATATATATGTATATGTATTTATATTGAAAAGTAGGGGGCAACCAGACCTTGCAGTTTGTGTTTTGTTTTATCTGATTTTGTCTTGTTGTTTTCTTTGTTCGCATTTGTGGTCAATTTCCACGGCTTTGCTCGGCTGACTTTGCACGTATTGGATTTCTGCTCGGATGCTGGGCGCTTTCCGGTGGTTACTACAATTCTGTGGTTCAGAAACCTTTGCATGTTTGCCAGAAAACTGAGCAGACGAATCCTTGAAGAAAGCTTGATCCAGAGAAAACTTTACTTCTTGCATGGTTTCAGAAGATTGACGATTCCCCAATCCCGGCTAGCCCGCAAAGCCCAAACAAGGTAAAAGTACTTCAAAAAACATCCAAGAAGTTGTTTCTCTGGATCGTTTAGGGGGGGTCCTGGGCAACAAGCATCATTGTCACCCGGATCCCATCACGTCATTGGGTGGGGTTAGTGCCTACGTGCGCTTTGAAGACCCGGCTACGACATGTTTAGTTTCTGCGGCTACAAACAAGGGAGGTTCAGGGTTGACCCCATGGAGCGCGCGCTTGCCTTGTCCTTGCTGCGCCTTCTGCCGCCGTGTTCCCATTCACGCAATGTCTTCTGCAAGCCGAAACACTCTTGCTCAGCGACCTTCAAGTTGCAGCTCGTGAGGAGACGGTGGCGCACTACAAAGTGGAATTTGTTCGCAAGAGAACAAAGGTTCGCCAGACAACGAATGCCATCGGGGTCCGACTTTTGGACCAAAGGCGCCAAAGGAAACATTGCCCCGTGTGTCAGTCGCCGGGTTGGCGTCCAAATTTGTGCACCGTGCAGGGTACTGGTTGAGGAGTGGCACGGGGTCTCCATATCTTGGCAGATGCTGAAATCGAAGCCCGCGCGGGCGAGGTGTTGGGCGAGCAGGCCGCTTGTTGCGCACGCCATCGGGAAACTAGCAAGCTGCGCAAAACGATCTGCTGTTCTGAGATTTGTTCAAGAGCAACTGCCCCAAAGTCTTGCACACATTAACAGTGTTTGTTTCACGCACATGTGCTGGTCTTGCTGGGCATAGTCAGACCGTGTTTTTGCGGGTTCTCCAGCTTGATGCTTTTGCCGGTTGCGCCCCTGCGTGCGTCTCATGTGGATCTACACGCAGTACACCAAAATTTGATCTTGACTGTAAATATATTGACTGAGTCCCACGCAGGTTACCATGTTGCTGCACCGATTTGTCTGACTTCCTGAACGAGGTGCGTCTCATTGGCTCGTGTAGCTTTCGCGGACGAGTCTGCGTGCCACTCTCATTGGTTCGAGATGTAGCAGCAGGCGTAGCCGGACAGACAGGTATGGGGTTTTGACGGAGGTTTGACCATACATCGAGCTTGAAAGCCGCTAAAGCCGCTTTAGCCGCGTTCAAGGCCAGCAATTCGCGGAGGTACAGAATGGCAATTCTGGCAAGAGAAGCTCAATAAAACGAAGATCACGCTTTCCAAAATCGGCCCTGCTGCGAAACACAAACAGACATGTCTTGTGGGTGTCTTCTTTGTTTGTGTTCTGCACCTTTTTTTGGGTGTTTCGCTTTCCAGGTTGAAACCAAAAGGAAGAAAACCACTGGTCATTTCGAGACCGTCGGTCGGAAAGCTTTCAAACATGGGGCGTCTTCCCGGGGGGAAAAAAAACGAGGCGCGGGCACCACCAGCTCCTTCCGGCCCAAGCGCACGCTCACCTCGGACGGACGGGCAGGTCGATTCGGACCGAATCGGCAAATGGCCGGAAGAGACACCGAATCGGCACACTTGAAGGTTTGTCAAAACTGGGCTGCCCGCAGATCTCCCGCGAAAAGTGACTAACTTTTTCTGGGTTAAATGGAAACTACCACTACACACTAAAAGGCTAAAAGGCTAAGGGGAAGTAGGGGCCCTTTGTGGTATTGGCACGTATCGGCGGCACCAGGTCACAAAAAAAGTCATGTTTGGACAACACCCCACGTTTGCCTGGTAAAGGCAGACCCCCCCCCCCCCTGTCATGGACGCCTGAGGTCGATTTTGCAGATCCAAGCCCACACCCTATATGGCTGGAATCCCCACACCCGGTCTAAGGTTGTCTTGAGTCATGCTGAACCCTTTGGAACCTGACCCGAAACACACAGGTTCATTTTCGAAGATGGCCAGGGACCCTGCGCGCCGCAAAAGTCGGACTCATGGACTAAACCAAAGGCATGAAGCGGTGGCAAGTCGGTTCTCTGATACATGTTTCTTCATATGCCAGGGAACCCCATTTCAACTTCCCAGACTCAGACTTGTACCAGCGTACGGCTGGGAAATATAACATATGGGTGTCTCCCCAAACACGGTGGTTGTCCTTTTCACTTCCCTTTAAACCAGTAATTCTCCAAAGTGGTGGGTGTTCCTTCTGGTTTCCCTTTAAACCCCACAAAAAGGGGGCTTCCACTGCAAAAAAAAAAAAAACGACCCGTCTGCTTCAGCAAATGGATAAACCGCCCAAAAACAGGGTCACCCGAAAAAAAGCCCAGAGGGCGGCCGCCATATGCTGAAGCGAACGGATCTTCTTCGCTTCAGCTCCTTCGCTCAGCCGCCGGCCCAGCCCGAGTCTGGGCCTGCGCCGGTGCCGGCCACTCGGTCGTAGCGCAGGCGGTCGCCGACTAGCTCCACCTGGAATCAACCCCAACACTGATCATGGTTCTATTTGGGTGTCACCCACATGGCAACCCTTGTGGAAACAAGGACTAAAGCCTGCGCTTTTATGGTGGGTCAATTTGAACTGGTCTTTGGCCCATTTTCGACTCTCGACCAAGGCCTTTGATCCGCTGTTTGGCACTTGTGTGATCCGCATCCCCTCTAAAAACGGGCTGGACCCCCCCCCCCCCCCAGCCTGCACCTGAACAAAAAATGAAGTAAGGAATCCCAAGCAAAGGCTTTCGCTCGTTTTACCATTCGCCACGACATAGGCAGATTCTTTCAATCCTTGGTATCCTGGTTCGCCTCTAGCAAGAGTCTCACTACTTCCTCGTGCCCGCGTTGGGCAGCGAGGTGTAGAGGCTGTCGCTCCTTGTCTGCACGTTTCGCGTCAGCACCAGCTGCCAGCAAGCTACGCACAACGTCCTCACGGCACACAAAACGGGTAGATGGCGCTCCCGGCGTCATGCCCTTTACTTGCCCACGTGAAGAGAAGTGTGCCTACTCACTGGGATCCGGGCTTTTTGCAGCGCTGTCGGTTCAAAGTTCTCGCAAGCAACAGGAAGGTTGGGTGACCCGTTGAATGGGCGGCCTTTTTCTGTCGGGCAAAACGCCACAAAATCCTTGCCCCCCCCCTTCCAGGATGCCACGGACGCCTGAAGCAGGTCATGAGGGAATCCCACAAATATTTTATCTGTGGCTTTTTCCTGGTGGCTTCCCTTTAAGCCAAAAGGGGCTCCCCGAAAAACACGCATCCAAGCGCCTTACCATCGTGCAGTGTGGAAGCATCCCCGTTCCTCGAAGCCACTTTCCGCGGCATCATGCAAAGGCGTACGCCCATCATTGCTGGCCTTATCCTCAGGGTTGGCTCAGCCTAAAGCATGCCTTGACCAAACAATCGTTTCAAGAATATCCTTTTGGCTTCCAGTCAAAAGATGACCATAGTATGGTTTAAATTCATCTTTCCCAACCTCCATTTGCTTCAGCCGCCTGGGAAAATGAAAAAATACGCATTTCCAGTAGTGAAATCGATTCCCTTGAAAACCAACAAGGGACATATAACATCTTTTTTAAGCACCGCAGCCACCAGCGCTTGTCCTTGTCAGCGCCGGCGGACAGAAGGCAATTGACAGCTGCTGTCTGGCCGCCCATTGCAGCATAATGCAAAGCCGTGCGCCCGTGATTGTCAGCCTTAGGTCCATTGGTCTCACTACTGCGAACTGGTCAAGCCCAAATGTTGCTTACTTCCACTAAAATAGGTCCATTCAAGCAAAGTTCTTCCTGAGTGAACTGAGACTGGTCCAAACCCAAGCTTCAAGTCCAGGAACTCAGGGAGTGAGTGGTTCAACGGTTGAAACCTTCTCACAATCTTCGCCTTCCCGGCCTCGTCCTTGTCGGCGCCGGCTGCCAGCAGACTGCTCACGATTTCGTGCCCGTAGGCGGCGGCGAAATGCAAAGCCGTGCGTCCACGATCCTCACAGATCCGACCCCCCAAGAAAGGCATCCGGCGCTGGTGAGCAGCGCCCAAAACCGATTTCGACTTTGGGCTGTACTGGCATGGTTCTAAAGGTTTGTGAGTTTGTGTGGGCCTTAGAACCACCAAAAGGCCAGTGGTAGTAGAGCCACCAACTAAAATGCCCAAGAGGGGTGTTGGGTCCAGAAACCCAACAATTTCCAGCGGCAAAACGCTGAGTTCAGTCTGACAATGCCGGGAGAGAAACCCTACAACCCAAAAGGGCTGTCAAGGGCAAACCAGTTGCTTGGAAAAAAGATAAACAAGGGAAACCAAACCACCCTGAACAGTTCCAAAGTTTTGAGAAGCCCCAAACATGGTGGGGGGGAGGAACCCCAACAAAAAATGGGTAACCGAGAGCTTCTGCAAGAAGTTAAGAAGACATCCAAAACCAAGAAAGCTGAGCTGCTCTCCCACCAATTCAAATGGAACCTGACAGGAGATTATGTGTCCTTTAAAGGGACTCTTCCCTGTCAGGTTCCATGTTCATTGGTGGCAGGGAAATTAATTCCAATGAACCAAAAAGCAACGCACACGTGTTTAGTGTGGCAAGGTGTCGTCGGCTTTGTCCGCGTCTACGCTGGCACCCAGTAAGCAGTGTACGACCTCCAAATGTTGACGTTTGACAGCGGCATGCAAAGGCGTAAAACGGTTCCTGGGCCGGCTGCCACTTGGTGTTGGTCAAAAAAGGGAAAACCAAAAGGAAATCTAGAAAACGGTCTTGGTGCGTTTTTTGTGGGTGTCACCTGTTCTTCCCCCTGTATGTTCTGTGTTGGTAGTGGATCCACAAAAGCCGTCCAAACCGCTTTCTAGAGAAAGGCAAGGAAAACAAAATAAGCTATTCCCAACAGCTCCGGAACTCTCTGGAACCCTCTGGAACCCTCTGGAACCCTCTGGCCCCATATCTTTCAGTTGGGGGAAAAAACAGCAAAGGAAAACCAGAAGGAAATGCAAACATGAAGGAGCATGAAGAAAACCTTAGGGGCGCTTTGAAAAGATAAGTCTGGCACAGGTTCAAGGTGGCCTTCTCTTTGTCTGCACCAGCATCCAGCAAGCAATGCACAACTGCCAACTTGCCAGCAGTCGCAGCAAACTGAAGCGCGGTGCGCTCGTCAATGTCGACCTTGTCCTTATCAGCGCCAGCTGCCAGCAAGCAACTTACCTTGGTCAAAGAACCCAAGCCAGGGATTCAAAATATGTTCACCCATCGTTTTAGTCAAGGAAGACGTGCTCGATGGTGCCAAACGTTGACCCAGCTACAATTTTCTCACGGCCAGTGCTGGCGGCACAGTGCAAAGCAGTGCGCCCATATGAGTCAGTCTTGTCTACTGCAGCGCCTGCGTCCAACAAGCAACGCACGACTTCCTCATGGCCGTGTTCGGCGGCGCAGCATAAAGGCGTCAGTCCCTGATGGTCGGCCTTGTCGTTGTCAGCACCAGCTTCAAGCAAGCGACGCACGATTGCCAGATGTCCGGCATTGGCGGCAAAATGCAAAGGCGTCCACTGATCCTCGTCGGCCTTCTGCACATCTGCGCCAGCTGCCAGCAAGCACTGGAAGACTTCCACGTGGCCTTGAAGCGCTGCAGCGATCAAAGGCGTGCGACCTTCACTGTCAGCCGCGTTCACATCGGCGCCAACTTCCAGCAAGCAGTTCGTCTGTTCCGCATCTGCATGATGAGCGGCCACGTGCAATGGTGTCCTGCACGATTTTGAAGAATGGCCAGCGGTTGATCCACATCCCCACAGCTCCGTACTTTATCACCTCAAGAAATGTCCACAAACATAAAACACACCTGCCAAACATGGACAAAGGGCCAAAAAAACGGAGAAATGAAGCACGCCGGAAAAAAGGGCAACAACAACATGCCCATGTCCTGCCATCCTCCTCAGCAACACTCGGATCAAGCGGCGCCTCCAAACATCGCACCATTTCGTTCAGGTCGCAATCTTTTGCTGCTCGGAAAACTTGCCTCGGGTCAGGGTTCCAACTGGGCCCTTTTTTGGCAGAAGGGGGCCAGTCTCTTTGAGTGGCCCGGGATAAGGAAAACGATGCCCGGCTCCCCAGGATAAGGGCCCTGGCCCCTTAAATGGCAGGGAATAAGAACCCCAATTCTTTCCACTTCTCGGTCACTTGCCCGGGGATCTTTGAATGGCCCGGGGTTCAAGAAACCTCCTGATCCCCCCCCCCCCCGGACAAGGAAACCACGCTGGCCAGTCCCAGCCGCTTTGGATGAGCAAACTGCGCTGGCAAGGCTGTTTTTCTTTGGCCCAGGCTTCTGCGTTGCCACACACTAGCGCGGGCCACTCAAGCGTCCGGTCGGTTTCGGTTTAGGCTTGGGGCCCATTTCGGATTGGTGGGCAGGGAGATTCAAAAGACTAGCCTGCCTCAGTTGGCCCAGTTCCCTGTATGATGGGTATCCAAAAACCACCCGCTAAAGCCAACCAGAAAATTGCTGGTTACCTGCTGTGGATGCCCTAAATATTGCAACTTCCGAAACAAGTGATCTACCGTTGTCTTACCATGTGTTTTCGAGTGTCGCTTTCCTGCAATATGGCGGGGGCATTAAACGTACCATAGTGGCAACTGGAAGCAGGCTGTCCGGGATCCAGGGCTGCCGGATTTTTCGATGTTCATTCCCATTACCCCAAGAAACTTCCCTAGCTGCAGTCTCCGATTCAACTCCCTTTTGTTGAAGTGGATTGGATTGGAGGTATCCATTTGCAGGGTTCAAATCCCAGCATACAATCCAAACCACCGATTGAGGGTTACCTCAGCTTCCGTTTAACTGGTGGATTGGTTTTTGGTGGTTTGGTGCTTACGGGGTGGTGTCCCCTTTTACCCTCCACAAAAGCCAGGGGCTCAAATCCCCCCAAGACACCAATTAAGTCTTACCTGATTATCTGATCCAAGACACTTAAAAAAAAAAAAAAAAAAAAAAAAAAAAAAAAACGAATTAAGCAAAAGGCACTGGGCAAGCCACTCATCCGAATGCACGTAGGGCCGAACCACCACCGAGAAAGGCCCCATGTCCCAGGCACTGTCAGACCCCAACATGCCAGCACTGCTGACCACACTGAGCTGCCTGCGTCAAAGCCGAAAAAAATGTATTTTGGTGTCTTTCTGTTTGTTTGGGCTTCTTCAGGTTGCTTGGGGGCAAAACGGGCTGGTTGAGGCGTCTTAGGGTTACGCAGGTTGCTTTTTGGGGGGGGGGTCCTTGGCTTTGTTTTTGTTTCTTAAGGCTTTTTTGGTCTCTCAGGGATTCGTAGGGTGTTCTTGGGTGGTAGAAACTTCGTTTGACACCTTTGCCAATCTTCGACCCAAAGGTGGGTTGGTCCTTGCTTGAGGTCTGGACCAACCCCTACAATCAGGGGGCCAATACAAATCAAACCATTCACACAAGGGGCTAAATAATTTGAACAGCGGTCTGGGCTAACAAGCTATCATGACAATGAGGAAATCATACTGATCCCATGTTTGCTTCCGTTCGGGGATTGTGTGCTAGGGCGAAAGAACGCCTTCTGTTCAGCTGAGCGGCGCCCCACTGCACCCCTTGCGATTCTACCAACGTGGTTTCAGAGGTTTATGAAGCCAGTATGAAAGTCCTGTATGAAACCAGGCAGTATTCCTTGCGAAACGGCTCTCGAAGCGAAACTTTTGGGCCATGGGAATGGCGTTCCCCAAAACGAACGTGCACGCCAAACATGGGCCTGTCCCCATTTTTGACGGTACCTTCTTTGTTGGCGGTTTTGAAGAAAAACCCAAAGGGAAAACTGAATCCATTTTAGGGTGGGGGGGTCCCAGTCTTTGTCAAGAAGGATCCCAAAAAATGAATGGAACGCATTTTGGGGGGCTCCTCTGACTTGTAATGTTATGACCTCGCAATGATCCGAAATAAAAATATAATAAAATAACTCCAGCCAGGAAGCCACGGGAAAATATATCTCCCTACCAAAAGGGGCTTACCACCCCTGAATCGCACGGTCCACATTAATCCGAAGTGAACATCATGGCTTGTCTTAAAGTTAGGGCAACGCCCAAAAGAATGCAGTTTTCCTTTTGGTTTCCCCTTTGACCAATCAGCAGGGGGTCCAAAAAGGAGAGCCCTAACCCATAGCCACGCATCTTGGGCTATGTCCCTTTGGGGTTCACCTTGAAAACAGCAACGCCTAAGCCGAGCTCGGCACGTCCAGCACGGGAAATGCTGTCTTTTCCCCTGCAATGGGGATAAGGAAGTCGCCTTCCCCAGGCTCCCAGAAGGCTCCTCTTTAAAAAGCGCGGAACCCCTTGAAACTTTGATGAAATCTGACAGAACAACTTGCAACCGAGAAACCCGAAGAACCCCAAGAAGGCGTGCGAAAGCAAACCCCCGAGAACCCCCGAGAAAACGCCAAAGATGCAAAGTCCGCAGAAGCACCCAGAAACACCCGAGAACCTTCTGAGAACCCGACCCCAAGAAAACCCCCGAGACCCCCAAGAAACTTCCAAGAAAACGCCCAGAAAACGGAGAAACCCCAAGAAACCCCCTGAGAACCCCCAAGAAAAAACAAGACGCGAACCCGACACCAAGAAACCCTCGAGACCCCCAAAAAAGAACGAGACAACATCAAAAACGCAAAGCCCGGAGAATGCCCAAGAAACCCCCGAGACCCCCCCAAAGAAAAATGCGACAACGCCAAAAACGCAAAGCCCGGAGAATGCCCAAGAAACCCCCAGAAACCCCCAGAAACCCCTCGAGAACCCCTCGAGAACCCCCCGAGAAAACAAGACGAGAACCCAACCCCAAGAAACCCCCGAGACCCCCCAAGAAAACAAGACAACATCAAAAACGGAGAAACCCCAAGAAACCCCCTGAGAACCCCCAAGAAAAAACAAGACGCGAACCCGACACCAAGAAACCCTCGAGACCCCCAAAAAAGAACGAGACAACATCAAAAACGCAAAGCCCGGAGAATGCCCAAGAAACCCCCGAGACCCCCCCAAAGAAAAAATGCGACAACGCCAAAAACGCAAAGCCCGGAGAATGCCCAAGAAACCCCCAGAAACCCCCACAAACCCCCAGAAACCCCTCGAGAACCCCCCGAGAAAGCAAGACGAGAACCCAACCCCCGAGACCCCCCCAAAAAAACAAGACAACATCAAAAACGCACAGCCCGGAGAAACCCCAAGAAAACCCCCGAGAAGCCCCCAACCAACCCCACGAAACAGCCCCAAACGCCCCCAACTCGCCTGAAGTTGAGAAGGCCGCGCTGCTTGGCCACCGCCCGTCTCAGCTCATCGCGAAAGTTGGCGTTCCGATCGGACGCCTCGAACCACTCCTTGCGCGGTGCAGTGGATGGATGAATTTATGCTTTGAAGAAGAAAACAAGTACATATATATATATATATATATGTATGTTCATACATAAAAACCATATTATATGCTACCAACCCAGTGGTTCATCTATAAACCCACTTGCAAGTGACAGTTGCACGAGATCCACTTCGCATTCGTTGGGCGACCCACGGGAAGTCCTCGCTGTCCATTGAGTCACCCGGGCAGTCCGCAAGTCTATGTCACCCAACAAAAAGGACCAGGACACAAACCCCGACAAAGGGAGAGGTCAAAACCCACAAAGGCCACGAGTTTCGGCACATCTCTCCAACCCCGGTGAGCAGGGTCTTTGGAAGGTGTTTCGCTAATGCACCTACCGCGAAAAATATGAGTCAGGGGCTTAGAGTGCAGTGAGCACAATGGTCGGAACCCGAAACCCCCGTGCTGTTTCATAGGTATGTGATCAATGCCAAAGTGATGTACAGGGGGCCACATGCCGCTCATGTGTGCCTAATTTATTGATCAACAAAGCAGACTCCTCAAGAACACAGGGTACTTGTTAAGTGATTCGTACTTGGTATGTGCTGAGTAGCTTTGTTTGAACGACCTGTCGGAGAAACTAGCCCCCTTACAAAGTACCCTGCCGTCTTAAGCAGTCATCATGTGAAGGCACACGAGCCACTGTCAATACTCATCGTGAAGCCTGGATTCCTCAGCCTTTCCACCTGACTTAACACTTTCCTCAAAAAGGGCCATAGCCAGTGATCTGAGTTGTTTCCCGGGCAAATACAAGTACTATACATGTATATATTATTTGTTTCCCAGCTGTGGAAAGACGCGGCCTTGTTTTCGTGGTTGGTCTTAAAGGGGTTGTCGCCTCTCAAACGTATCTGAGATTGGTTTTCCTGGTTGTCCTTGCGACCAAGGTTCTACCTTTTTGCCAGAAAAGAAAGCACGAGGCCATGAGAAGGCACATCGGGACCCTGGATTTCCAGTTCGACACTTTTCTCAGAAGGCGAGTTGTGGAATCGCCTGGGAAGACCTTAATAAAGAAGCCACTGTAGGGCAACCAGCCAAACAACAAATCAGAAAGTACGCTGGGTCAACCTGGGGTGGCCCGCCACAGCACAACGCTGTTGGAAAACGACGGCGGAACTCTGCGCCAAACCAAATCCACCCTGTCACCTCAAACTCCCGCCCTTGTTTGGATGGGCTGGCCACGAGCAAAACAGTGCTGAAACCACTATTGTTTGAACAAAGAGTGATGTTCACACCCTTGGGACGGGTTGGTTCTTTAAAGCGCTGTGTTGTGTTCTATTTTTAGTGGGTCCCAAACCCACCAAACATGAAATTGGACAAAGCAGAGCTTTGTTCAACCGACGTTTTTTACCAAGGAGAGGCAGCCATAGTCTCTACAAACGCAGAATCCCCTTGTTGCAGCTGCGGCTCGGCGAACTGTTCCGCACTCATCACCTCCTCGCCGCCCACTGCCATGATGACCGCCATGGCGCGGATTCAGTTTGAAGGGAAACCAAAGGGAAACCACACATACCAACCCAATGGATGAACATCCATTTGCCACCTATTTCGATGTTCACTAGGGGTACAGGGTTTTGACCCACGCCAAAAGCTTTTACCCCTACCCCCAGAAGAACAAAGATCTGGTGACACCTTCGTCATGGGTGAGCTCGCGTTACCGAATAAGCTCGCTCCACTTTGCCCGGAAGGGAAATGAATGCAAAAAAAGACACTTATGACAGGGCCGCTGATTCAACAACCCATTGCCTTGCCAGCCCCAAAGCCCCTAGCCACAGATTCGTCCCGAGCATGAGAGGCAGTTCCGGCTGTGAAGCGGTCAAGCATTTAAAAGCAAGCATGGAGCCAAGCACACAGGCATATGTTGCTCATGACAACTATCAGCCATTTCGCTGTAAATCAAGACAGAAAAAACAGGGATCCTTTTATATCCCCTTCAAAAAGAACCATCCCCAACAAAATCTCATTTAGATTCGCACCCAATTTGGCGATGCTTACATCGCACAACGAGCAAATCTGCGTCCACTAAAAAAAAAACGACTCCCCATTAGCGCAGCTTGCAGGGGCAAAAGACACCCGGCTTCCACCACTGGGAAGGCTCGTTTTTTGGGGAGTTGGTACCCCTTGTTTGTGGCTGTCAAGGGAAACCAAAAGCACAACCAAACCCATTGTTTGAGGTGGGGTCCCGACAAAAAGACACGCCCAGTTGTCCAACAGTAACATTCCTAGGGTTAAACGGTGAATGCTTGACCAAAAAGAAAACCAGGCGCTTCGGTTTTGGACAGGGTTCCCAAAACAATATCCCCCAATCGCCAATCGCCGCCATATTTGGCGATGTTTTTATTGCCACCAACATGGGAAATATGGATGGTTGCTAAATGGGACCCCCAAACGGCTTCGTATTCTTTTGGTTTCCCTTTCAAAACCAACGCAAAAAAAGGGGGGCTCCCAAAAACAGACGAGCCGCCCTTTTATGAAGCCCTGTTGCAGGCCGCACGCTCTTCAAGTTCCCGAGCGGATGGCCCCAAACCCGTCGTCGCTGCATGTGAGGGATCTCTTTTTGATTGAAAGCACACACCAACCAGGCACCTTGTTTTCTCCACCAAAAGGGGGGGCACAAGTCCAAATCAGGGCATCCAAATGGTGACCCCTGCCATCAATGTTGGAGTTGCGGGGCGCGCTAAAACCAAATTTAGTCATGATAGGGGTAAACTGCGTGTAGTCATTTGGCCTACTTCGCCGCAACTTTGCCGGAAAAAAAAAAAAAAAAAAAAAAAAAAAAAAAACTTCGTGGGATTCCCAAACCAGTGCGACACATCGAGTTGGCGAAATGGAAGCCGACGCCTCGGCCACCAAGGAACCAGTGGTGAGCCGCTCGGGGAAAGGCGTCGACGACACCTCCTGACAGCTTCCGGGAATGCCCATGCCCCGGACCGGACCCCATGAGAAACCCCCGACATGGCCTCGGTTTGTTTTTGGCGCTGTTGGTGTTCCTGAAAAAAGCAACTCAAAAAGGGTGCCCTCAGAAAAAGACCACCCCAAAGAAGGAGGATCTGCAAAAACAATCTGAAGGGTAGTCGATAATATAGAATGGGATACCCCAAAACCTATGCCTACATAACCGATGTAGACAATTAGCACGGGGGGGTAGGTGTGCTTTGAAACCAAATTGAGTCGTGATCATCGGAGTATATGCAAGTACTTGTTCGACGCGTATATTATATCCAGGCAGTGGGGAGTTGGGGAAAACAGAAAAACACGTCCATTCAAATTCAAGGAACCTGAAAAGGCACCCTCAAACAAAACACGCACCTGCACCTATACATAAGATCCATGCAAAAAAAGGGAGCTATCCCGCATTAATTGCTGTGTTGAAGGCAGGGCGCTGAGTTGGCGCCTAGTGGCAGTTCGATTTGCCTCGTTTGGTCAAAGAAAACAAATGGTTGTTGGTTCCAACGTACCCCAAAATTAAGGGGTCACATATATTTGCGAAGATGTAGCCAAGGGCTTTAAGCTGGAGTACTCGTATGGTGACACCCAAAAGACACTACCTTGCGGGCTGACATGCACAGACTGCATACTGATGGCATACTGTACTGTACATGTTAGCAAGTGCCCATTTTCTGAGCCAGATCATTTATATATGTTCTACCAATCATGAACACGGATGTTGGACCAGTCGGCATGCTCGTTTTTTTTGGAACCCATCCTTTGAAGCAAACATCAAGTTAAAGGAAGCCACAAGGGCACGGATTGTCGCAGCTATTTTTTCCCAGGTTCTGCGAATCAAACTCAAAGTGCGTAAACTCCCTATGAATCTGCAAGGCTCCACTTCAACCCCGGGTGCCAAATAGATCAAGCCCGTCTTTTCCGAGGGAAAAGGGGCTGCTTAGCGCTCTGGCCTACAGCATGGCCGCTTGCAAGGATTCCACTACTTGCTATTTGCAGGGCTTTAGCTTCCAAAGATACATCCACGGCCTTCGATGCTTCTCACTTCATGGGTCCCTGCAGCCGAAGCGAGCGACATGTGGTTTGTTTGGGGGCCTCTTTTTTTTGGAGGGTCCTTTCTTTGGCGGGTTTGAAAGGGAAACCAAAGGACAACAACCAATTTGGGGGATCCAATTCCTAAGAAAAGACACACCTTGTCTAAGGAGTTCTTCCCTTTCCACGCTTTTCACACAGAGGAACCGTGGCCAAAGGCTCACCTATACGCTACAATTCACATCATATGTCTGTGCTTTCGTTTTGGGGGGGTCCCCAAAATGGCTTCGATTGCTGCTTTTGGTGTTCCTTTCAAACCGCACAAAAAGGGTTCCCAAAAAGGACACACCCGCGTAACTGAACAACTTGGCCTGAAGACATAAACATGGGACAGCCAGGCATATCCCCCCAGATTGCAGCAATGAGCAAAGCCATGCGGCCACACAGCGTGTTCTTTGCGGCAACAAAGGGACTGCCCTGATTTATCCCCATACCGCGCCACCGAGAAGCTCCCACAAGGCGAACAGCAGGTTGGCGCATGGTCAGTGCAGCAGAACATTCAGAACATTGAGCCCTTGCCTACGCCTGAGACCCATCAAGCACCAACTGCAACCAAGCCGAAACTCTTCACTCTTGGGGGCCATGACTAAATCTAGATCACTTCAAAGCTACAGCTACGACATGTGCCGGGGTTTTGCAGCAAACCAGAAGTGTGCGTCTTCAAACAGAGATCCTGACAATATACACCTGAACATTGCCTTGTAAATGGTTTCCCTTTATTTTGGTGGAAAAAGCCATGTTCAATTAGGCAAAATGTATCTTTCAAGAAGCCGTGTTCAAGTTTCTCTTTTTCACGGGGCCCGTTTTCAGGTCTGTGCCATCCGTTTTCAGCGCGAGGCCGCGAGCTCGCCTCGTCCACCCGCACGATGACCTCGGCTGGCCCCAAAGGGCTTGGGGTGAGAGGCTAGATGAATAGAATCATGAAGGGGCTACGTTGCGAGTTGACAAAGCGCAACCCTGGAGGACAAAGTGAACTTGTACGCTACATGTGATTCTTGCCAAATTAGTATGGTTCCCAAACATGAAATATGGGATTTTGAAGGGAGCCTCATGCGTAAGCGCGTTTTACTCCCAGCTCTCCCATGATCAGGAGGTTGTTTGGTTCAATAGAACCCCCACAACCCGACTATAATTATCTAGCCCTGTGTGGCCAAAACCGATTGACTTTGTTTCTTCCGGCCAAAAGTGTCGAAGGTCTGAACCCTTGACACCCCCACCCTCGTCAACCATCAAAAGCCCGACAAGGGCAAATAAGCCTCATTGAACCAGCTTTGCAAGCTTATTGAGTGGCCAAAATAAGACCAAACATGGCCAAAGACCAAATCCGTTTGGGTAGGGGAGTCTTTGGGTGGGTCCGTCTCGTTTCGTGAGTCTCACTGAGCGCGCCGGCGCCACCTTTGTCCGCACCTGGGCCAGACTTGGGCCTGCTGGGGTCTCACATTGTGCGTGTGTGTCCTTTATTCTTTGAGGGTAAAGCAAACCCGCGAAAGCCATGGCATCCAAGTGGTAAATTGGCTGCTCTAACCCGGTGAAATGTGGAGTCACCAATCAACTTGATAGCCAGCTAGACGAGCAAACCCGTCTTCCCAACCCCTGCAAAATGAATGGACTGTATATATATATATACGTGAAAGTCTTCGACATGGATGAAATCCCGAAAAGGCAAAGATGCCTTCTGCAGCACATTAACCTGGTTTAGACCCGTACCCAGTTCCCAGTCTGAACTTGTTCGCCGAAAATGGTTCCATGTTTGGAGTTGTACCCCTTTTTTGGGGTTTACAGGAAAATTAAAAGGAAAATCAGAAGCCATTTTGGGGGGGGATATCCAAAAAACATAACACGCCCATATAGAAACTTCAGCTTCCCTCTACTTGGTGATTTGGATTGGTGGTTTGGAGGTGTGGGGTTAGTTTCCCATGTACCCTCAAGAAGAGGTTCAAATCCCCAGACCTAGCCAAACCACCAATTAAGGCATGAACATTCAGTTCCTAGAGGGTTGAAAGGGACAATGCGGGAAACCGAAACAGGTAAAAAGGGCTAAATTAAGCCTGACAATGAATCATAAATTGAAATTGTAGTTCGGCAAAGCTTCTTGGAATGCCTGGTTGACCTCTGTTTTTCGGTCTTTGCTTCAGCAGGTGGTAAGTGCTGATGGGAGTGAGCCCACTAAGGAAGCGTTGCCTGTCCTTGTAGGGTGTATGTAGGGTTAGAGGACTAAGGGCTCATTGACAAGGGCATACAACACTTTTCCAGATTGAAGGATTGGCCAGCTGAGTCATAATCAAAACCGGGCATTAAAATGGTCTGAATTGCCCCATTCACGGTTGGGATTACCCTTAACCTTCATCTACCCGGGTGCATCTAGGACCGTCTTTTTTAGGGGACCCTCCAAGATGGAGCGTCGGCTTTCCTGTTGGCTTCCCGTTAAAGCCTACCAAAACAAATACCCCCATACCCCTTCCCCCCACCAGAAGGAAAAATCGCAAACCACCCAGCTGTTCTTTTATGCCCGGGGTGGAACCGCCCGCCCTGACCAGTTCTTGGGATTCACTCCCAAAATCATGGTACTTGCTTTGGTTGAATAGAATCATGATGATCTTCTTCCGTGAATGGCCCAAACAAAGTCCAAACTGTTTCTATTCACCCCGAACATGGTCATTCCAAAAAGTTTTAAAGTTCACTCAGGCAGTGAGTTATTGAACGGTCCTATGTTCTCAACAGCTCACAGACCGGGACCATCGCCTTAAACTCAACAACTATTCAGGGAAAGAACAACGGTTCTTTTTGTTTATCAGAAACACCCAAACAAAGTCCATCAACAAAATGGGGTCCGACAGTCCGACTGATCTGTCTTCAAAAAGTTGCGCTTGCTGGTGAGTGGTTGAACATCACTGCCAATTCTCAACAAAAGCCGTCCCATGCTCGCGCCACTTATGAAACTTGTCTGCGGTGCTAAACTCCACGTGCTCCCTGCTAGCTACGCTGGATGCCCTAAATGTTGCAAGCAAAGCAACCAAGGCCAACCACAACACACAGGTAAGTTGCGGTAAGTCAAAGGCTTTCCCTTGTTCCCCTGCGTGCAATATTTAGGACATCCACCGTACCTTCAGCAGCCTATTAAACAATAACCATACCTTTTGGAAGAGTTGGGAAAAGAGAAGACCATGCTTTTGTGGGCGTCCCACCAGTTTGGTGGTTTGGATTGGCGGCTTAACGAGGGGCTCAAATGCCCAAACTACCAATCCCAACGACCAATTGGGGCTAACCTGACTCATGCAGCTGAATTGTGGTTTAGCTTGAAGCTTGTTCTTTCCAGGAGGTCCATCGCTTATACCAAGCCTACCTCCGATTTTGCCGCGCCAAAAAAGGCACCTTTGATTCTGGTCACGGGGGTGTGTCTCAAAATCAGAAACCAATGGCTGGGTCCCTAGGTTTAAGTTTAAAACAACACCAAAATGATCCCTTAAAACAAGACACACCCAATTGACCAGGCAAATGTTCCGAGTTCTCATTGGGCCTTGGGTGTTTCCTATAGACCCTGGAAAAGTGAGGGGTGTCCTCGTGTGAAACCCAAACGCGTTTGCGCCACCCAAGGCTGGAGCCAAAAAAGAACGCAAAATAGCAATTCAACTCAATATTTTCCCGGCCTTTAGCTTCACATGCTCAAAAAGGACTGAAAGTCGTGTCACAGGGGGCCCCGCATTTCCGCAGGGCATTTGTTCCTCTCTGACCGGGTGGACGCGTAAGCTCGCCTCCGATCACCTCCCATATTTGCGGCATCTCATCGTCATGGTAGCCATTGTCCATGACCATAACGACCTCCAAGGGCAAACACCGAAAAGGGGAAAAGGATAAAAAGGTCTGCCAAGGCTTCCATTTTACGTTCCCTGGAAAAAATGAAACTAGTTCAGTGGTGATAGATTCCCTTCAACACCAACAGGCGCAAATCACAAAATATTATTCTGCCAATGGAAGAAGTCTGGCAATAAGTGGAAACGTTGGATTCCTGTTGAGGGTCTTGTCTTGTGTCCGAAGATGCTAGGGAATCAACAGGGGTGCTGGGAACCAACCATCTGGGATCGGAAAAGAAAGTCACAATTGATCAGAGTGTTGCGATATTTTGGAGCCCTTACATGAAGCCACAAGGGATTGTTATTTGGGGGTTATTCCCTCGTTCCCTGGGAAGAAATAGATACAGTATGAAGAGAAAAAAGAAAAAGACAAGAAAGGTAAATAATATTTTGAGCAAGATGAAATTGCTCATAGGTAACGGGAACGGGTTAAGACCCCCCCCCCATTGATTGAAACCTGAATGGTTCCTTTGGACAATTTTCCTCTTCAAGGAACTCTTCTGTCACGTTCCATGGCAACGTGGGCGGGTAACGGGGATGCTTAGGGTTGACAGCTTGCTTGGGGTGAAGCATGATAAACGGGATGATCGTGAACCCCCCGGGAACTTTACTTGCAACCATTGTGAAGTCAGGATGATGACAGAAACATCATTGTTTATTTGGGGGAGCTTAGTTACACCAAGATTTAGACCTTTCGCGAACAGATTTGCTTTATACAAAGACAACGTCCCTCAAGATGAATACCGGGGCTCTCCGAACTGCCGTACCCATCAATAATAGGGGTCAAATATCGTTTCATGCTGAGCCAAAGCTCTGGTGAATCTTTCGGGAAAGTTGGGTTACACCTACGAGATCGTCACTCAACTGGTAGTTGCCCCCATAGCCGATTTCTAAGACTGAGATTCATTTCAACCCCGCCCCCCCCGCCCTCCCCCTCGCGCCCCAACCTGAGGCAGGGAAAAACACCAACACACATAGACTAATCGATCGCCCAAGACGCATGCTGCATTCCCAATGCACTAGCTGCCGCACCTACTTGGCTGCTATTGGGTTGGATCTTTGGGAAATCACTGGTTTTCCATTGAACCCACAAAAGCTCAGCTTTTCGCAGAGGGGTCAACAGCAACCAAACCTAGAGGTAACATAAAACCCCGGATCCAAGTGCAACTTGTTTTACGGCAGCGTTTCCCCCCCCCCCCCACCCCCACCCCCACCCACAAAAGTGAAGACCCTCACTGGGTTGCCCCCTGTGTGGAGATCTTCCTTAGCAATCACAAAAAATCAGGCCATGATTTACCTTCTGGATACCGGTGCCTTGTGATTTGTGGGCTCCCCCCGTTTTGGAAATCAAACCCCAACCTCGGGAAATCAAGGGACCGTCTGTGTGAGCTGCAAAAGTCTCAAATCGTGCCTTCAACTTGCAAACACGGGTGCCGACCAAAGGCGTCCACTCCACCTAAGAAAAACCAAAAACATGTTGTCAAACCTAACATCGCCCCACCAAAGAGAAGCTCAACTTAAACTGGCAACAGGCGACTCGCAATCAAATCCTGGCTTTCAAGGGGACCCAACCAAAAGGACCACACCTGTCGGCTGTGACCATCCCCGCCCGTAAGCGGAATTCATCCCCTTCCACTAGAGAAGCATCCCCAGTCGAAACAAGGAAACCAGGTTGCTCCCAGACAAGCTCTCCTGCACAATTGGAATTTTGGCAAGTGGTCTTGTTAGCCAACCTCCATGCAAACCCAAAGAAAGCTTCGCCAATCATCTACCTGGACGAAGGAATAACACCGCGGCTCGCGCGCCTCATTCGCCGGCACGCAGCCTTCAACCGCCGTCCAATCTTGGCTAGCAGTTTGGGCCAAGCGCGGCGCTCCTTGAATGGGCAGCTTGCCGCTGGGCCCGACAGAAAGGGAAAATGAATGAAGAGCACGGAAGGTGCTTCTAAATCCGGCAACGCCAATAGATTGCAAGCTGTAGGAATATAATATTGCCACTCCTTGGAACAATACATTAAGCAGCAAAGATTAAGTGTGGCCAAACCATAGTACATTTAACAAGAAACCATCAGCTGCAAACTTGAAGGCCCGGGGCCAGAAGCAAAGGAGGTGGACAAAAAACATTCAAAGGTTTGGGGCCTGCCTTTGGGTTACAATGGGTTAGCCAAAGGCCCCCCCCATTTGAAAGCAGTCTCCTTCTTGGACTAAGACGTTGAGAAATCCCCACGTAGACATATAACACATTTCCTCTGTCTGGGAAGTGTCCACTGGTGACTGATTCGGCCTTTTTCTGGCACCCGGAGAAATGTGTTGGTCAGAGATTGTTCGGATGGTCTCGTATATCAACCCATGATCTCCCGTAATCATACCATACTGTAAATCGTGGCAACTAACAAGCTAGGTGTTCACACCAGGGCTTCAGATATGAGTGTATACATTTACTCTTTGAATTGAAAACTGCTGGAGATTTCAGATACTGGACCATGATCCAGATTCATGGACCTCGTTGGGGGAATTACTCCTCGCAAAAGGAATAGATGTTACTCCAAAATGGTGCCCAGCTTGCACAAAACAACACTCTTGTAGCGTCATTGAAATCCTTGCATGGGTTGCTTTGAGCTGTTTACATCGGACCGCCTCCAACTAATTAGGCCCCATCAAAACAAACAATCATGACCCCAACGGCGGCTGCACAACAAGGGCTATGTTTAGATGGCAGGGAAATGTTGAAACACGCTGCGCCGCCAAAAAAAAAACTAGCCAGCATGTTGCGAGCGACTAAACCGGCTCATGAACCTGCGTTGACACATGCTGCGCGGCAAAGCTAGGTACGACTTCCACGCCCAGCCTATGGAACGAAATCGGGGTCATTGGCGAAGTTGGAAATTCGCACGGCACCACGGCAAGAGCGCTTCGCCGAGCGCGACCCGCAAAGGGTTCACCGCCAGCGCCCGAAGAAAATACACAAATCCAGAAAAGAAGTGCTTTGCGCGAACAAGAAGAAGCAAGGCTGCGCGAGGCAAGGCGAAGGGCTGTCTTGAGATGCGCCGTGCAGCAAAGCTATGTTGAGATGTGCTGTAAGCAAGGCTGTGGTTGACCTGCGCTGAGCAGCATAGCTCGCCTGTTGAGCTAGAACCATTCGCTACGGTTTCGGGGAAACATGGCAAAGGCATTCGACGGAGAGGCCGAAGGTCCAACTCACCCTGTAGATCCAACGAAATCGTCTCAAGACTAATCGGAAACAATAATTTGCACTCGGGCCGAAATCTCGACTTTTTGACGGATACCGTCTTAAGTGGAACACCCCCTATGTACAAAATTGGATCAAAAAAGACTTTGGCGCGGCGGACATAAATCCTCGGGCAAATGACGCCCAGCCTAGAGCCTCCCAGGGGCTCTTGTTTCCTCTTGATTCTTCTAGGGCTACCTTCACCATTCTGGCCAGAAATCTGTCCTTTCAGAAAACGACAACCGATTTCTTGCTTAAGAACGATGGTTAAAAAAAATGGTTGGAATCAACCCCGACCCACTCCTCCCAATGCCCCCTGCTTTTCTGGTGACAAAATGTGAAAATCATGGTCCCATTGTAAATATGTTCCTTAGTCAGGGGTTGACAGCATAGCCTGGTCGACCTCCAATTTGCCTTCTGGGTGGTGTGTACCTCCATTTGGGGAGGTGTCTTTTTGGGGGGACTCGCAAAATCGTGTTGTTCCTTTTGGTTGTCCTTCAAAACCCAACCAAAAAGGCGGTCCCTTAACCCCCCCCCCCACCCATTTTACCTTTTGGCTTGGGCCCAAACAAGAAACAAAAAAAGCATTTCAACGCCTTGCAGGCAGCGTCAGAATCTCTTTTCAGCTGAACTTGCCAAGCTCAGCTCGATGCTCGCCTGGAGAGGAAACTGAAAAAGGGAGTCTCCGAAGAAAGCAAGTTTCTGTCTGGACACCCCAAAAAATGAGGGAAGTCTCCAATGATCACGAGTTTCTGTCTAGAAAAAGCTGGGAAATCCAAGGCCCTCGAATTTGTTTGGGAAAAAGGCATCCCCAAAGCACGCGAGACTGCTTGGGGAAAAAAGCTTGGGAGTGTCCAAAGAACGCTTCATTTAGGAAAGAACGCAGGGAATCACCAGAGAACACGAGCTGCCTGGACAAAGGCATCTGGGAATAACACAAGTTGCTTTGCAAGATCATCCTCCCAGCACGAGTTGTGTTTTGAGAAAAGCATCTGAACTCCCCAAAGCATGTTGTATGCCGAGCTGTGTATTTGTGCTACGTAGACCTCTTGCAAGGGCTGTTTGGAGGCTCCGTTTGGCTTCTTTGTTGGGCCTTGAAAATCCATTAATCCTTTGCTTCCAGTTCCCAGTATAGTGGGTAACCAGGCGAAGCTGCAATGTAAAACCTAGAGCTGAGAAGCCTAAGATTGTGGCAACTGGAATCACTGGGAATGATTGAGCGCCAACTCAATTTTGGCTTCATCATGGTGGTGGCCTTTCAAACATCGCCTTCAAACGCCAGGAAGCTCAGCTCAATTGGGCTTTCCAAAAGTTGGCGCTGAAAACATGCTGCAACTGTCAGGCCAGGGCTGACTTGCAATGACTTGCTAAAAAGAACAGAACCAAAGAACCCAACAAAATACAAGGGAAGGGAAAGTGTTCCCTGGCAAACGTTGAAACATACGGTCGGTTGCCAACAGCGTTCAAACAACGCCAAGTAACGTGCAAGAAAGCCAAACCGCCTGCCGAGTCCGTAGATTCGGGCAAATATAAACACAAACAAAACGGCGGCGTTCTGTCGGGCTTCAGCCGACAAGAACGCAAAGGTCCCCGGGATCCGATTTTTTCGGCGGGAGGGCTCCGCGGTTGGGGTGGCCGTGCGCCGAACATTCGACCCGCCGATTTGGAGAGATGACGGGGGGGGTGGCCAATCTCTTGTAGTGGGGGGTCGGACCACTTTCATGCGGAAATTCCCCGCAC